TGAGTGAAGGAGACTTCGAAACCGTTCCACAGGTGACCGGTGTTGAGGGAAAGTTCTGGAGATCAAGAATGAAAAATATAGAACAGAACAGAAAAAGAACCAGGTTTCCATCCACCAGTGGACGTTGACCCTTTGACCTCATGCAGTGGCTTTTAAAGATTATGGAAGACCTTAGTTTGTTTCTCTATAAAACTGTGCTATAATCAAAGTATTTCTGTGATCCAGGAGAGTACTGGGTGGATCCGAACCAAGGCAGTTCTGAGGACGCCATCCAAGTCTTCTGTAACATGGACAGCGGGGAGACCTGCATCTCAGCCAATCCACCCAACATTCCCCGTAAATCCTGGTGGAGCTCCTCCAGGAACAAACCTGTGTGGTTTGGAGCCGACATCAACCGAGGAACACAGGTGAGAGATGGAGGATTGGAGGAGAGGGTGAGGGTGAGAGGTCGTTGGTGGAGATCCTTCTGATGCTTGTTTTGTTCCGTTTCTCCAGTTTGCGTACGGCAACAAAGACCAGCCGTCCAACTCGGTCACGGTGCAGATGACCTTCATCCGTCTCCTGTCCAAGGAGGCGTCTCAGACCATCACCTACCACTGCAAGAACTCTGTGGGCTACAAGGACCAGAAGACGGGCAACTTGAAGAAGGCCGTGATCCTGAAAGGCGCCAACGACCTGGAGCTGAAGGCAGAAGGAAACAACCGCTTCAGATACACAGTCGTGGAGGACTCGTGCGCTGTAAGTGTCCTGCACCAGGCCCGCGACCCAGATGTTTACCTGTAAAATAAAATTGTAGTTAAGAATGAAAAATACCAGATGTTTACCTGTAAAATAAAATTGCAGTCAGATACACATTATGAACTGATAGAAACTCAGACTTTTTTGAGGTTTTTGTTCTTTGGTTCTGACGTGTTTCCTGTAGAACTCACTGACTTTCTGTTTGTGTCTTTTTTTTTTTTTTTTTACAGCACGCAAACGGCAACTGGGGCAAAACAGTGTTTGAGTACAGGACACAGAAAACAGCAAGACTTCCAATAGTGGACATTGCTCCTGTGGACATTGGTGGCACAGATCAAGAGTTTGGCATCGATATCGGGCCGGTGTGCTTCCTGTAAGAGCGGCGGCATGAATGTGTGGGGAGCGACCCTGAGACTGTTGAACTGACCGCTGACACGATCAGCCTCTTTGTACATACGAGTACTGAGAACTATCCTGGCCCTGTGGCAAGATATTTATTGTGCCTTTTGACCCAGTCCGAGACATTAATGATTTGTAAGTTAGAAGAAGGTTTGGAATCACCCAAAAAAAAAAGGTAAAAATCTGAATCATTCCCTCGTCTTCTCGTGTTAACGCTCGACTTTAGGCTCCTTGCATTTAGAAACTCACAAAGTCTGGGCTGCGTTAATCATCTTGATTAAAACCAGAAAACAATTGAACTGCTGTTTATAGGCTGAACGACCCCCAAATATCAAACGTTGAACCTGCATTGACTTTTTTGTTTTGTTTTTTGTTTTAAATGGATTTGTCCTTTTATTTTTTAATGTCATTTTTTAACACCTGAATATAAAACATTGTGGTGCTATTGAGGAAATAAACACAGCTGATCATGCCTTTTTCCAGCTCAGGTATTTTCTCAAGACAGTTGTTGATGTTGACCAGAGTCTGTATCCACGTATTCTCCACTCTGTACTGATCGCCTGATCCAACATTAAAGACACGTTGAGACTGTCGCTTCCTCAGTGTTAGCTACCTCGTCACCCCAAAACTGAGAGAATGATGTGATTACGTGTAAATGCTTATTCGGTTTTTTTTCTACAGGTGCTCTTTTGTACGTCCTGTGATCTTTGTGCACGTCTCCAGGCTCCGTGGTTACGCGGCAGGGTTTGGGGGGTTGCCAATAAAGATCTTTCTGTCAAAGATGGAGAGACGAATGAGGTCGTTGTGTGACTGCTGTGTGGTACTTTGTCACTTCTTTTCTTTCCCTCCTCAGTAATATCGTAGGTATTGTGAACGGTAGCATAGAAACATTTTTTTATGCATGTCACCCCCCTCCCCTGTGCAATATCTGCCATTTATACACACTTTTCTTTTTTATAACCACTTTTATAGAATGAGGTGGGTGAGTGCCTGATTGCTTTGTATTGCTTGCTATGCAACCAATTAAACACAAATGCTTGTAAATCCCCCTAAGCTTTTGTCACATTAATTGAGGTTGAGTCAGTTTAAGGTAAATATATTTCTCATATTACCAACGTATTATTATCAAAAAATGTGTACAGAGTCGATTAAAAGTCCGTCATTGTGCCTTTTAGTAAAGACGTGTTTGAAAGGAGCATTTATATATATATATGCGTGATTGTGCCGCGCTTGGCCACACGAGGGCGACAAAGCCTGGGGAAGAGGAGCAGAGCGACAGTGGTTTTTACACGATGTGGACCTCGTTGGAAGAAGAAAAACAAGCATACATAGAGTTTTCAAGTTTTAAACAAGGGAAAAAAAATAATATTGATTTAAAGTTACAACCGATGAACACGAACCCGAGTCATTATAAACTTCATTTCCTGCAGTTTTAGAGTTTTATCTTTAGAGTTTCTGAATCTAATTAAGGTTCCTCTTTTTGAGGTTCCCTAAAGGGACATGTGAAGAAAATGAACGTTTCGGTTACTCACCTGAATCTTAGAGGTGAGCATCCGAAACTTTCTTTTTATTTATAAATTTTTTTTCTGCCAAAGTCCCTTCAGGGCTCTGTATTTGACATGTAAAACAAACCAATGTTTTTCTTATAAATCTGCTACTTCATTTATGATGTGGTTTTTTCAAACACGAAAAATAAAGTTTTTTATGTGAAAAATAAAATACGACTAGGTGTTAATCTGTTTAATGTAGTTAGATCTGCGGGCTTTTGTTTTGAAATGAAGCATCGCTTCCTGGTGCCAAGGACCAGTTTCCAGTCAGTGTTGCCAGAATATCAAAAACAAATAGAACCGTTTACCCTCTGTGAGATAGACGATCAACATTCCCACAATCTTTACAATGTATTTTACATCTTGTTCACCCAAATGAGCGCACTCTACCGGGCCAAACTTGGTCATAGACTTTTAAGTGCATGGTTTTGATTGCGGTTGAAGCAAATCTCCCGTACGGTACGACTTTTAAATCCGTTAACCGAGCTTAGTTTGGGAAAAGACTAAAATAAACGGCGGTTCCAGTGTTTCGTGCTCAAACATAACAGTTGGTTCCTTTGCTCTGGCGCCCCCAGTGGAGGCGCACATCACATTTTTGTCAGAGAAAAATAGACTCCAGGGAGCGAAGAAATGGTTCTGTTTGAGAATATACTTTTTACGATTAAAAAAAAAAAACCCTGTGAATTTGAGTTTATATTTGGTGTTTGTTTTCTTCAGATGACTATAGTGAACACTGGGAGAAAACACAGGAAGCAGGTGATTTATGAAGGTCAGTCAAAAAGTTCGCAGACAGATGTTCTTATCTCTGAACATCGAGAAAATAATAAAAGTCAAAAAGTTCGCAGACAGATGTTCTCATCTCTGAAGATCGAGAAAATAATAAAGTTAAGACAAATCATGAGAAGACGTAAACACACACAGCTATGCCGATGGCGATGATGACCGTACTCCCGGCCAGGAGGGAGAAGACGATGGCTTTGCAGCTGCAGCTTTTACGCATCATCTCGTTAGTGATGTGAGTCTGAAAGGCGTTGTTGATGATGAGCTCCACACGGGGCTGCGGGAGCAGCAGCATCGGCCCGGCCTTATCCAGAAACTTCTTCTTCAGCTCCCTGCTGACGTGGTGGGCCACCGTGTCACACATTTTGACCTTTGGGATACGGTCCGCCGGGAGACGCAATTTGGATCGCGTCAGCTTCACCAGGCGGTTGATGTTGGACGCCAGGCCCAGGTCGTTGAGTAAATTGATGGCGCCAGTTTTACTGAAAACGTTGTAAACTGTCAGGACCAGGAACTGACGGATGTGGAGCTCCTTCTCCTGCGACAGGGCGTCTGAGGAGCTGCACTCCTCCGTCTGTTCGGAGCTCGACATGTTTCGGTCCCCACTGTGGGTCCCTCGCGTTAACATGGTCTCTGCTGATGGACCTGAGTTTGTCTTTGAGGTTGAGCAGCAGCTGACATGGGTGTGATTGGACCGGTTTTTCTTCTCTGGGATGAATTAGTGCTGGTTGGTCTGTTGACTGTATCTGGCAGGACAGACACATTCAGATGCATCGCTGCCTCGGTGGTCAGTTGGTGTTCGTCCTGGGGTTGTACTCCAGCAGACACTTGTACGTCTTAACACTTCACTCCAGGATGTTTTGCCTCTGATTTACCTTGTGTACTACTATTGTACTACATCACTTTTTTTCACCAACTAACCAGCACTATGATCATCTTTGAAGTGAGCCTTTGAAGTCACGCCAATATCATACCTAACGTCCAGTGCCGATGACATCACCCAGCAGGTGTGACCACATTATCTTCGGCTGAGTCTGTTAGTTACCAGACTTTGAGCCACTTCTGTGTTTCTGTAGAAAGAAAATGGAGATTAAATAGTGATGGTTTGGACCTGAGCTGAGGAGAGAGAGTGGAGATGATGGACAACCTTCTCCATGTCCTTCAAGACCAGGAGGACATGGAGAAGGTTGATGTGATGGTGAAGGAGGCAGATGATTCACTGTGTCGGCCCCTGAAAGAAACAGAGGAAAGATGATGATGATGATGAAGAACATATATGTATATATATACGTACATATATACATATATGTGTATTTATATGTAAATACGTATATGTAAATAAATATATATACACATAAATACATGTAAATACATGCATATGTATTAATACTTAAAAATAAATACATAAATGCACATATACTGTATATATAGAAATTGACATATATTACAGTATATACATATATATTGTAATTCAAATGTAATTTGTTTGACAACTGAACCAATAAACGGCGACAAAAACATTTATTTTTCATCTCTATTTCTCACAGAACAATGTAACGTTCCAGAGGTCTCCAGCAGGTGGTGTGTTCAGACGTCACTTGCTGCCTGAGGGTACGGGGTTCCAGGGCTGCTTCTTGATGGCTCTGTCCTTCGGCTCCACAGGCCTCAGGTGACAGGTCAACACCAGGTCTCTGAACTCCTTGTAGGAAGCCAAGTTCTGGTTGATGGCCCTCAGCTTGGTCTCGTTCTCTCGCTGGTACCTGCGATCCGACTCCAGAGTGGTCTGCAGTTCACGTTCCAGAGCTGAGAAGTCAATGACCCGCTCCGTGGGTTTGTCCACCATCTTCACTTCAAATATAGTTCTGTTCTTCTTGTCCGTGTTATTCCTGTTGTATATATTTTTTTCTTTGTTTCTTTACAAACAACAGTGTTCTCAACCTGAGGCCTGTAGGAAAAAAGACAAAGACTGTGACATATCAAAGGAACCAGATCAAAGCATGGACTACTTCTGTTACCTGAGGCCATACACTATACATAAATATGTACATATACTGTATGTATATAGCACATATATGTACGTAAATATGCAAGTATACATACAGTATATCTGTACTTATGTTACATGATATGTATATAATATGTATGTAATAAAGTAATATTATATACAATAAATTATTCCTTTTTAACTAACAAATGTATAATTAATTAGTTAATTAATATATAAAATATATAAAATACATATTACATATTTTACATAGTATCTCTGTCTTTGAGTTTGCGCCATCTTCTGCCAACTGGTGTAAGAGTTTTTAGGTTTTCAGTTGCATCTATATATATATATAAACATATATATGTATATTTACATAAATGTACATATATATTTTTAGGATATATTTCATAATAATTTATATTTGACAAGAATCCTTCACAATCAGGTTTATTTTCCAAATGTGATTATAAATATATATATATATGTTATATATTGTGCCTTTATATTAGTCTGTATGGAGACAACCTCTGACCAAATGTGTTAACAGTGAGTTAAACATTAGTGCAGCTGGTGTAAAATACAGTAATAGTTAGCAACAGTTGTTACTCTAATGTGCTCTTCTTAGCGTGGCTCACATTCACGGTCTGGTCACAAATATGGCGTGTGTTCCAGACGATGTACAGCTAAAGATGTTAGCTGTAGCCGTAGCGTAGCGAAGTCTAGCCTATCCCACTATACACAGGTTCTAATGAGAACAGTTCTACTTCAGTGGCACCGCCCAGCCCTACTGGACTGAACACTGAGCTAAGTTACAAAAAGAAGGCACACCCACGCTACGATGACCGTGGTGATGATCGCGCCCACGGACAGTAAGGTGATGACCTTACAGCAGCGCCCCCAGTCTATGGTTTCGCGCGCCACTTCAATGTGGGTGTGCTTCACGATGCAGTCGGAGATGATGTCCTCCACCGTGCTCTCGGGAAACAGCAGCATGTCCTTCACCTTCCCCCGAAACGTGCGCTTAAACTCTTTAGCCACACTTTTAGCCACGGCCGTGTACATGTTAACCTGCGGCAGCCGATCGTTGGAGAGTGAGATTTTCAAAAACGACGGCTCCACCAGCCGATGGATGTGCAAGGCCATGGAATAATCACGCAGACACTTTTTCAAGCCCAGGTTCTTGAAGATGCGGTGGATGGTTAGGACAAGGAACATGCGTACCTGTTTCTCATTGGCCTCTGCAGAATCAGAATGAGACGCTGGCGGAGGAGGGGACGCTGGCGCAGGAGGGGACGCAGTTTCTTCGGGAGGAACGACCTCCTCAACGGTGTCTGCCGGGTCGATGAAGGTGTCGGCTTCCAGCGGTTGACTGTCGTTGTTTTGCATCGCTGCCCTCTTGTGGTGTTACTCTGTGAACTCTTCATCTCGACCTTCCGCTCCTTCATTGGTTGGAACACTAACGACATCTTCAGGCATTTGTTTCCACGATGGTGAGAAGGTCTGGACCAGAAGGCTCTGATGTGTGGAACGCCCGTGGCCTTGTGAGTGAAGTTTCCTTGGATCTGGTCAAACATGACATCATCAAAAGGTCAGAGACCCCCAGGACGGCAGGGGTCACAAAAGGACCGGAGGTCAAGACTGACATCAGTTGTCACCAAACTGAAAAATGGGCAAAGAAACACAATTCACAACTGTTGAACTCACATTACTACCTGTACACAAG